CCGGGGCCTTGTTCTCCTGCTTGGAAGATTTGGAGGACTAAGGATTTCACAGTGCTTTGTTGTCACCCAATGAACTGTCCCTTATCCATCTCTTTCACAGCAAGGCCTGTACATCACAGCTGCCTCCGAAGGAAACCAACCGGGCCTGTGTTCAAGGACTAAGAGTGATAACTCAGTGGATGTCTCTGAGCCATTGCAGTCTCCCTGCCAAAGTAAAGCACAAGGTGCTATATACTTTTATCTCCAGGATTTAGGATTATCATTTCTGTTACACAGTGAAACATTACCTGTGTGGGAGTGAAAGCTGGTTGGCATTGTTTTTGGATGGCTGACTTGATTGTTTTTGCTGTGTTGCCGGAATGCCTCTGTATCTCTGCCCCCTCGCTCCCTTTGACCATCTCTTTCTGAAAATAAAGTGATGGATCTTCAGCCAACTCCCATGGTCTCCATGTTCGTTTATATTTCTCAGAGTGTTAGCGATGGTTTAGTTGTTGACTAGCTTTGTAACCTGAGAATCCAAAGGTCTGGAGACATTCAAAAATGTACCTGTGCCTCAGCAAAATTCAACTGGAAAGGGCTTCCCTGGTGGCGCAGTGGTTAAGAATCCGCCTGCCAGTGCAGGAGACACGGGTTTGAACCCTGGTCCGGGAAGATCCCACATGCCACAGAGCAACTAAGCCCGTGCACCACAACTACTGAAGCCTTTGCTCTAGAGCCTGTAAGCCACAACTGCTGAGCCCGTGTGCCACAACTACTGAAGCCCGTGCGCCTAGAGCCCGTGCTCTGCAACAATAGAAGCCACTGCAATGAGAAGCCTGTGCACCACAACGAAGAGTAGCCCCCGCTCGCTGCAACTAGAGAAAGCCTGCGTGCAGCAACGAAGACCCAGTGCGGCCAAAAATAAATTAAAAAAAAAAAAAAAAAAAAAAAGATTTGCTAAAAAGAGTTAAAATTCAACTGAAAAGAAGAATCCCTGGTACCTTCTTAAAAGTTCTGCCCTTGAGCATTAACTCTCATTTTACTGCCTGGAAACACCCAGATACACTGCTGCTTCTTAGCAGTGAAAAATACATAGACACCTTCTTTGTTCCAGAGCAAAGCAGTAGGAGGAAGAAAAATTGAGTACACGAGGGTGTTGTTGATGACTTGGTTGTACTGTGGGCTTTGGACTGTGAACACTGATGCTGCTGGGTAAACTTTGGAGGAAATTCTGTTTCACTGCTTGCAGTCAGTCTTCCAGTTTTGTCCTAAGGTATCCTTGAACACAAGTAAGTGCTCAAGCCCAAAGTAAACCCGTCAAAAGGGAGGCTCTGTTCCAAGAATGGTAACGAAATTTGGAATCTGTTGATGCCTCATGTCAGATGCACAGTCGTTGGTTTGCGTATTTCCAGCACATTACTCACTGTCTCAGCTCTGTCCCAGCTGGACATATGGCAGCTGTGTCCACTGGACACAGTGATAGTCTCTTTGTGGCTGGAAGTCTGCTCTTGGCCTTTCTGGTGTTTTACATCTCTCTGTATTAAGTTTGGGACCAATAGTAATCATTTACCGCGAACACTCATTTTTGCCTCAGGCATTTCTGTAAGATCAGGGCAAAGAGCCACTGAAGTGTACGGTGCTTGAATAAAGTGTCCAGGATGGCAGCAGAACTGTCAGTCAGTGGCCAGGCAGCCCTGTGCTCCCTGTAAATGCTCATTTGTCAACGATGTTTGGAAGTGGATTCAGACTAAAGGAAGGTAGCCAAGCGTGGATCTCTACTGTCTGTACACCGTCGTAAGAGAATTTATTACCCCTGTGTAAGTGTGTAAGATGTTAAACACGGGCTTCCCTGGTGGCACAGTGGTTAAGAATCCGCCTGCCAATGCAGGGGACATGGGTTTGATCCCTGGCCTGGGAAGATCCCGTATGCCACGGAGCAACTAAGCCCGTGCTCCACAACTAATGAGCCTGTGAGCCACAACTACTGAGGCCGAGTGCCACAAGTGCTAAAGCCTGTGCGCCTAGAGCCTGTGCTCTGCAACAAGAGAAGCCACGACAATGAGAAGCCCTCGCACTGCAATGAAGAGTAGCCCCCTCTCGCCACAACTAGAGAAAGCCAACGCACAGCAACGAAGACCCAACGCAGCCAAAAATTAAAACAAATAAATTAATTTAAAAAAAGTTAAATACATGAGCTGTTATACTAGTGTACTGGGTATATTATAAAATAAAGTTTTTTATAAGGAGGGTTTTTTTTTTCTGCAGCAAATATCTTGCTCAGCCCAGGGGTATATACAGCTGCTTCAGAGAACCGGAAGTTAGTGGTGTCGGGAAGTGACACGTGCAGGAACAGGTCCAAGAAGGCTGACGTGGGACCAGGTTTGAAATGCTACGTTTTCTCAAGTGTGTTGCCTGTTTCCTGTGATCACTTTTATTTCTGCTGGTTGTTGACTTGAAATTGTCCTCAGCCCACTCCAAGTTGACCCCATGTATTATGAAAGAAAATGAAAAACAGAAACAGAAGGAATCCCTAGGACCCCAAGCAGCAGGGCAAGAGGGTGACATTGGTAGAGAAGCAGCCGAACGTGGGGGAGTGGGGGCCTGAGCCCACAGCTCTGGGTGAGTCGGAAACGTGTTTGATATGTAACCTTGGGAAGTCACTAAATTCCTCTGAACTTCAGTTTCCCCCCTCTGAAGTGTGTCTTTTGTGAAAATTCACTGAAATTACATTAAGTTCATGTAAGAAGTATTTAGAACAGTGCTGGTGCACAGCAAGAATGCTGTAAATGGTGGCTATCAGGATAATTGAATGTCTCCTATGTGCAGGTGTCCTCGTGGGACATACGTGTTCAATCTTGATAGTGACCGGGGTGGGGTGGGTGTTTTACATGGGAGGAGCCTGAGAAGTTCAGTGTCGTGTGCTGGACCAGACAGCTGGTGTTCAGATTCAGGTCTGAGCCTGAAGCCCTCAGCTTTCCACCCCACCATGCTGCCTGGGGCAGGTGAGAGAGCCCGACCAGAGTGGGCGCTTAACCTCTGTTTCTGGAGTGAATGACCTAGGCAAGTGGGAGAGAAGGCTTGTGTGTCCCTTGAGAAAGGAGTAAGGCCTTGTCTTTGTGGGCGAGCATCAGGTGACCAGCATTCCCCCCAGGGCCTGGCCCCCATCCTCCCCGGAGCCCCGTCTGGCTGCTTCTCCAGCAGGTCGGGAGCTGGTTTCTTGGGCCCTTTGACCATGTTTGAGTCTTGGTGCCTCCGCTGGGTGTTGAGAAGAGGGCGGTGGGCCTGGCTAGTGATGATCAGGGTTGCACCCCTACTAAGCTTTAGAGCTGGGACGTGCCTCGGCTCCAGGCCCGCGTGTGGGTCTCTGCATCAGAGCGAGTGTCTGGCTCATGGAGGCGGACTTCTGCTTCCTCTCTCCCTCCACCCAAGTAGTTCACCTGCTCTCCAATACCTTGGATTCCTCTAGTGGGGATGACACCTTTCAAAGTGTGATTACCACTTAGAGGCAGATGCTTTCAGAAGCAAGGGCTCGGTGAGCTACGTCACTGCGCGGCCAGGTAGTCAGGTGTGTGGTTCCCTGAGAGATGGAAGAGTGTGTGTGTGTGTGTGTGTTGTGTGCCCAATGCATGGGCATGGAGTTGACAGCAGAGCTGGGGCTTAGAGAGTTGGGCGGGGGAGATAAGTGAAAGAGGGAACAGGACAGCTTTTTCATGCGCTCTCAGTTTTGTTGAGGGCACCCTGGCCAAGTCTGCATTTTCCTAAGTTATGTAAGAGTCCACACCCACTCTAAGCCAGGTGGGCCGACCTGGCTCTGCTGCCTGAATAGGACCCCGTGGCCTCTAAGCCACTTTATATATGCGCCTGGGGGTCTTGTTAAAATGCAGATCCTGATCTACTAGGGCGGGGGCGGGGCCTGAGACTCTGCATTTCTAAGAGGGTCTCTGATCATGTGACATTCCATGGACCATGTGTGCCTTCTCACACATGGTGTGAGGCATGGTGGTGGAGTTTCGGGGTGCCCACTAAGTGTGATCAGTGGTTAGTGCTGTAGGGCTGTGCCTTGAGTGCCAGATGGCCAGAATTTCACTCGAGAAGATACTTGGCTCCTAGAGGGAGCCCTTTGTGACAGAGGTTTCTTCAGAATATGGATGTTACCCCAGCTTCGCAGAGGGGCATCCTGCGTGTTTCCGATGGGTGCGCACCTGTCGGGATGGGTGGTGCTCCTCCCCTCGTGATCACGCATCCATTGTCAATAGCTCTCAAGTCAGTTCACGTGTTTATACCAAAGAGCAAGTGACTGATAAGTGACATTCCTCCCAGGAAGACTGGGTCTTCACTGGAATTCAGTTGTGGAACTTAAGGACCAAGGCTCACTTCAGCTGTGAGCTGGAGTTGGAAGTGGTTTTGGATATCAACCTCGTGTTCCAAATCAGTGAAGGAACCAAGGTAATGGCCAGCCTTGGCCACATGAGGTGGCGTCTGCTGTGCCAGGTCTTTTCAGTGGACGAGGAGGAAGGAGGAGGAGTTAGGTCAGCCGTCCAGCAGTGGCTCTAGCCATTGTTAGCGGCCCACTCAATCTAACTTCAAACTCAGGCTCTCACATTCCCAGCATCTTTTTCTGCCCATGGATGTCAGTGCAACGGCTCTTGGCTCTGATAGTGTCACCTGAAGTTTTCCTGTCCACACAGGCCTTGCTGGTTGTTAATAAGCTCTCTGTGCAGCTTTGCATCGGGAAGCTCTGATATTTGAAGGAACTTTGTCTTCTCCTTTTTCTCCTCTGTCTCGCCCCTCCTTCCCCCTTTCTGTCCACCTTCTCTCCCCCACCTCCATTCCCCCAGTAGCCTTATCTGCTTGTAGAAATGGGTCTAATTTGGTTTTCTAAGCATTGACACCTCGTTGCTACATGTTCTTCTTTTCTCTTCCCTTTGACCATAGGCCAAGAATGGGGCAGGGGGTGTTTTTCAGTGAAATGTGAAATTTTCCTCTTTCCTGAAATAAACATTTTGAACCTTCACCATCTAGTTTGAGCATTTATTCACCTCCTAGACTGGTACCCCTCAGAGCTGGGGGTGGTCTCGGAAGCGTTCTGGAAGCCAGGTGAATGCTTCTGAGGGTGGGAAAACGGAGAGGTGGCTGGACTCAGGGCCGGTCACTTGTGGGCTGGGGTTTCTGAAAAGCAAGAGGTCAAGTCAAAGTGCTGTGTCTGGGACTTCCTTGGGGGTCCAGCGGTTAAGACTCCGTGCTTCCACTGCGGGGGGCACGGGTTCGATCCCTGTAAGATCCCGCATACCGTGCAGCACAGCCAAAAAAAAAAAAAACAAAAAAAACAAAAAAATAGTGCTGTGTCCGCCATTCTGCCAGTGCCGTCAAAGTTGGCTTTTCTTCCACAAGGTGACGGAGGTGGTGTGTTGTAATGGGGGGAGCGCTGGCCTCAGAATATGGACCGTGTGATTTGGGCACATCCCCTAAAAGCTGGGGGCCCTGGAACCAGTCCCCCGCAGGTACTGAGGGATGACTGTGTTTGGGAAAGAGGAATTAGGAGCTCTTTTGAGAGGCAGGGATGGGGAAGAAAACTTCTGTTTTGTCACCCATAGGCGGACTCACATTGGGACTCCGAGGAAACTGGAGAAAGGACTTACCGCTGGCGTCTTCCCAAAGGACGTCCTGAAGAAACTTCCCCAGGGTCTGGCCGTGCTGGTGGGACTGAGCCCCTGACAGCTTGATCCCAACGTCAAAGGGGGCGCTGAACTAGGAGGACCCAGGAATTGTCAGAGGTCACACCCTCCCGTGCGTGCCCCGCCTCCCCGCCCCATCCCAGTGGAGGCCCTGGGCTCTCAGGAGAGGGAGAGAGGGGGCCTGGGGTCCAGCAGGCACCACTGAGGGGACAGCTCAGCCAGGTTACCCTCCTGCCCAGGCCTAGTCTTACCATCCGCACCATCTTTAGGAGGCTTACCTTGTACCCTCTTTCCTTACCTCTGAGAAGGTTACTGATAAAAGCTGTGAAGTCCCCTAGATCAAGGTTCCCTGCTCCTTGCAGCTTAGGAAGACATAAGGTTGAATGGCCAGCGGTAGAGCTTCAGGCCCTGGCAGGGTGATCTGGGGAGCAGGGTTCTCCCTGGTGTACACAGCACTAGCCTGGGGGACGGTCTCTGCCCCCCACCTTCCTCCCTTCCCAGGTGGTCTTCCTCTCATTTGCACAGGCCTCTCCTTGTTCTGTGGGAAGTTGGACAGGAAGCTGACCCTTCCCTAGAACGATGCTCTGAGCCAAGTTTGTTCTTCTTTCTGTGCCTCCGTCTCATCCCTCCTCCAGGGAGAGCACCCCATTTCCCCTACTTTCTTGGCAGCCTATGAGATGATTTACTGGAGCTCAGTTTTGGGTGAATAGGGAGGAGCTCTGTTTTCGGCCACATCATCGTTTCTCACCTGGGGAGCGGAGACTATCTAGCTCCATTCATCCAGTAACTGCCTGGGTGCCTGGCCCTGTTGGTCACTGAGATTCTGGATGAGTTGATGCAGGGATCTTGGGTCTGAAAGGGAGCCCTCGGTCCTTGGTCCTCCTGCCTCCTTGCCCTCCAGACAGGACACGTCAGCCGCATTTTTCAGATGAAGGAGCTGAGGCCCCGACTTGGCTGGGGCCACAGAGGGAGGTGGAGGCAAGGGCCAGACTGCAGGCCCGAGTCCACCAGCCCTGGAGCCTCTTTGAGCCCCAGAGCCGCTGCCCTGCCCAGCCCTGTGTGCAGCCCTTGCCCTGGTCAGGCCCAGGCTGAGCCCCTTTCCCTCCGGGCAGGAGCCACTGTTGCTCCCATTTCACAGATGAGCAGAGATGCTCAGAGATGTTATTAAAACAACAGGTATCTGTTGGTCCCTTTTTTAAAATTTACCTCCCCCTCTTGTCTCCACCGTGAAGGTGGAGCAAGTGGAGATGATATGAGTGATTTTGGGGGAACTGAGGCCCCTCTGTTCCCTCCCTTCAGTAAATACTCATTTCCGCTCCACCCCTGTGGCTCATGCGGGTGGTTGGATGACCCCAGCCGACTTTGCAGCACCACGAGCACCAAGCTGGGGACCTGCTGGGCTGGTTTGCACCCTGGAACCAGCGACGGGCAACTGACGGGAGTCGCAGCAGCTGTTGGATAGGGGTGCGGCTTTGAGCAACTTGAAAAGGTGCCTTAGTGTCTCATGTGGTCAGTGGGGGATGGGTGGAACTTGGCCTCGAAAGCTTCCAGCTCTGAAACTTGATTGATTTCAGGAAAACTTTTGGAGGGGGTGTAGGGGCCTGGGATGAGTGAGGTGGGACCCTGGCCCTGGAGGGGTTCGGGGGGCACAGCCAGAGCTCTGTGGCCTGTGTCACAGGCCTCCCACCTGCCTCTGGCGTCTCACCACCTCCGACATTTCAGACTCCTGGTTCTAGCGGAGGTAGGGCCTGCCGTTTGCTCTGTGGAAACTGGAAACGTCCAGCCGTGAGTCATCAGCCACTGGAACCTCTTCCCCGCCTGGGCTAACTTAGGGCGTCTCTGGCCCCACTGGACCTGGGGGTCTCACCGGGAAAGTTCCCTGGTTTAGTCTAAGGATTTGCAGGCTGATGAGTGGGAACGTGGCGGGTGGGGTCGCACATGTGGTGGAGGAGGCGCCTGGCGAGGGTCAGAGGGCGAGGGTTGGGGATTTGACCCCTGAGGGGAGGAGAGGCTGGGGGTGGGTGGAGGCAGGCCAAGGCAGGGCAGAGGAGACTTCCTGGGCCACCTGCTCGCTCTCTGCCAGACGGGTGCTGGGGACACAGGGCTTGGGGACTGGAGTCCCCCAGACTGTGGGTCCCACCTCTTCCCCATGCAGGGCTGTGGCCCCTCAGCCCAGTGAGCTCCCTCGGCTGAACCTCGGTTCCTCATCTCTAAATGAGGGCACAGAAACCAGCCCCACTGACTTCACAGGTGGTTGTAGAGGTTAAATGCGAAGCAGGAGGGTAAAGCAGCCGGAGAGCGAGACCGCAGTTACTAACAGTAGTTACTAGGCACCACCCGGGGATTCTGGTTTCCCTGCGTGCGGGGATCTGTCCTCACCTAAACTCTTGTCAGAACCATTCCCTGGACCGCGGCTGCCCAGCAGGGGTAACTATAAAACGCCTTCACGCTTTCTCTCTCGTAGTCCTCCGTTTCTCTCTAAGTGGCTCCCCTGCCCCGTGAACTATTCATCAAAGCTCAAGCAAGCCTGATGAGCCCCATCCTCGTCTACAGGTGGGGGTTTGGTGAGAGCTGGGCTCACCGCTCACCTGTCCAGGCCGCCGCCTGGTAAGATTGGGTAAGGTAAGGTCCGAGGGGCCCCTGAGTCGATCAGAAAGTTTTCTGCAGGAAACGCCTCCAGTCTGTGACCAGCTCTTCCTTCCTGAGTGTCTATTTGCTGGCTCCCCTCTGAGATCACCTGGCATCTGCTGGCGCCCCCTCTCCCCTCTGCTTGAGGCTCATCCTAATACAGCAAAGTTGCTTAGATGTTTGCCTGTTGATCGGCAAAGCCGATCTCAGCAGAGCCCAGTGGTGCAGGGTCCACTGTTTTTGTGCTGTTTAATGTTCCTTGAGTGGCTGGTAAGTGAGTCCCTGTGGATGGCCGCCTCTCCACGCCCTACCCCGCCCCATCCCCTCCACTGCTGAAAGCATAAAGCTGCAGAGGGACCCACCTGGATTTCCAGCTCGTCCCCTGCGCCTTCCGCCTGACTTCTGACGTCTGCGTCAAGCCAGTCTTCCAGGGCCCGGGGCTTCGGTTTGGCTGACGGCTTCTTGGATTCCTTTCTCTGCTGGAAAGAGGAGGTGTTCTCCTTAGGGCCCTAAGCCCCCCTGTCCTTCCAGCAGCAGAGTGAGGTGTGGGCCCACGGTCAGACCCAGAGTCCTCCTTTGTGCTCTGGGAGAAGAAGGCTGAAGCGCAGAGAGGGTGAGCCACTGCCCAGCTCACGCAGCTCACGGCAGGGCTGCAATGGGATTCCCCAGTCAGAGTGCAGGCCTCGTGGGGGGACGTCTCACCTGTACTTTCTGGTGTTCGGGGCTCAGGAAGCTGGAGCCCGCCATGGCCAAGTCCACCCAGAGCACACTGAAGAGCAGCAGGCTGCAGACGGTCCCTGGGGAGGGCATGGCCTCGGCTGGCTGGGGACAGATGGGCCTGGAGGAGAGAGCATCTCTGGGCAGCATGCGCCCCCCTATTCCATCCCTTCTTTTCCCCCCGCTTCCCTCCCTGTGCCTCTGAGCCCAGCAGACAGGCTGAAGGGCTCTGACCTGGACCTGGGGCCATGATTGCTGAGTAGAGCGGCCCTTAGCGCTCTCTGCCCGCCTCCCCCGGGTAGGACTGATGGAAGGATGTGGGTGCTCTTTTCCAAGACTGTTCATCTGGGGGCAGAATGCTTGGCAATGGGACTCCCCGTGTCCTTTATCCCAGGCCCCGAGGACCTTGTGCCAAGTTTCTCGAGGATGTTTGAGGAAGCTGAACTGGCAAGGTCCCAGGAGACATGGGGGCCCTGGGGCGGCTCCCAAGCCCAGCTCTGAGCAACCAGGCTGCTCCAGGTCATGCCACCTCCCCGAGTTCAGATGGGCCTGCGGATGCCCGGCAGTGGAGGTGAATTAACCCATAAACAGACCCTCCCACACACAAGAGAGTGGCCAGAGTGCCTACCTGGGATTCCTGGTGGAGGTGGTGCCTGGTGGCTGTCTGGTCATTATATAGGCAGCCTGTGTTTGTTTTAAACCAGCAGCCCCACCTCAGGGCAGCCCAGTATCCGGGGGCTGATTGACATTCCTTGGGAACTAAAAATACTACGCACATTGTCCTCGGGGTAGAAATCAACAGCGGTGGGCAAACGCCCTGAGAGATGGCTGGGTGGCCTGGGACAGCCACGTGAGGTGGCCATCTGCTGCTCCTCTCTGCAAGCGTGCCTGGCCCTGGTTTAGGTGGGAGGGAGGAGAGTGGCCCTGGGTCTGGTCTGGCTTTGCTGCTCTGCGGCCTTGGCTTACTGGCCCTTCTGCCACTCCCTTCCTTCCGGGATAGAATGAGGTATCCTCACTCGAACTCAGGAGCTTGTCCTGCCCCTGCGCTCGCTGCTCTCCATGAGGGATGCTGCTCTGGCTCCCACAGACCCCGAGCACATGGGACGCTGGCTCATGGAACTCTCACACGTCCGAGAGGGAAGCCCCATTATTCAGATGAGGAAACTGCAGGGGAGCAGGGCAGAGACCATCTCCAACAGGGGCTGAACTCCAGTCTTTTTTTTTTTTTTTTAAATGTGTAGTATGATCCCATTTTATGGAAAAAATACAAGATAAAAATACAACAAATATAGACAGCCAACTATCTGGAAGGACATACGCTAATTTTTTCTTCTTTGTAATTATTTTTAGTGCTTAGGTTGAATATTCATTTGGTAATAAGAAACAAGCAAATAAGAAAAGTCTTACTTTTCTGTAACTCTTGGTAGAATCACATGCTCCGCCTTGCAAAAAAAACCTGAGTCTATAGATGCTGTAGTTTCAATTACCAACTCCCAAGAAATACAGGGGATGGATGAGTGTGTAAAGGAGACCCACAGGGATGCAATCAACCCAATACAAACTGAGGGCAACAATAAGGGGCAAGTGTCCAATCCCTTCTTTTGGGTGGTGGTGATGGCTCTGCTCAGCTTGGTCTTTCTTAATGTGCGNGACCAGCATTCCCCCCAGGGCCTGGCCCCCATCCTCCCCGGAGCCCCATCTGGCTGCTTCTCCAGCAGGTCGGGAGCTGGTTTCTTGGGCCCTTTGACCATGTTTGAGTCTTGGTGCCTCCGCTGGGTGTTGAGAAGAGGGCGGTGGGCCTGGCTAGTGATGATCAGGGTTGCACCCCTACTAAGCTTTAGAGCTGGGACGTGCCTCGGCTCCAGGCCCGCGTGTGGGTCTCTGCATCAGAGCGAGTGTCTGGCTCATGGAGGCGGACTTCTGCTTCCTCTCTCCCTCCACCCAAGTAGTTCACCTGCTCTCCAATACCTTGGATTCCTCTAGTGGGGATGACGCCTTTCAAAGTGTGATTACCACTTAGAGGCAGATGCTTTCAGAAGCAAGGGCTCGGTGAGCTACGCCACTGCGCGGCCAGGTAGTCAGGTGTGTGGTCATGCATTTCTTTTTTTTGGCTTGTGGGATCCTCGAGCTCATGGCAGCCCAGCTCTTGGAACTCTCACACCTCCCTGAGAGAAGCCCCATTTTTCAGATGAGGAAACTGCGGGGGAGCGGGGCAGGGACCATCTCCAACAGGGCTGGACTCCAGTCCTCTCTTCTGGGTGGTGGTGATGGCTCTGCTCAGCTTGGTCTTTCGTAATGTGCGGGCCTTTCTCCCCTCGCCCAGCCAGGTTCTGAGAGGGAGCAGAGTGCCCTGGGGGCAGGAGAGCCGGGACCTGGTGCTGCCACAGGTGACCACACACAGATTGGCCTTACGCAGATCACTGAGCGTCCCCCTGCTCACGGCTGCCTCTCACAGGGGCTTGAGGATTAACTGAGGTGATGGGTGTGAAATCCTTTGTAACCTGTCAAGTACCGCGCAGGTGACAACTGTTTTTTGTACCCTGGCCAGCCTTTGCCACGTCAGATGTTCGCGGACGAAGAGCGCATCAACCACGTGGGGGATTCCTTACGCGCCCGCAGCGGCTCATCCCACAGGATGCCCAGGTGGTGACTCCTAAGGGCTCGGTGAGCTGTCTGTGTAGACGTTCTAGCGTTTCAGAGGAGGAGCTCACTTCTGGCTGGGCTCGGGCTGGGAGGGTAGGAAGGGCTCCGTGATCCAGGCGGCGGAAGAGGAGCAGGGCTCTGAAGGGAGGGCACCGCTGCAGGCAGAGGGGCAGGAGCGGAGGGGAACAGCAGGCATGGGTGCAGACTGTGTGTGGCCCCAGTGAGAAGGCTGGCTGCTCGGAGGAGGGTGGCAATGGGGCGGGTTGTAAGAAAAGGCCTAGAAGGAGGTACGGGGTTGGGATGAGCACAGTTTGGAAGCTGGGGGCCCAAGGAGTTTGGGCCTGATCTGGAAGAGGGAGGCCACTGAAGGCTTTTGAGCAGAGGAGTGACAGGACATGACCTTAAAGACCTGGGAGGCTGCACCGTTATTTCACGGGGAGAAAACCTGAATGCCACAGGGACCACACTTTCCCCAAAGCCACGCAGCCCTGAGTGGCAGTGCCCGGACGCCTAGCCAGGCTCCTGAGCACGACGGGATGGGGCAGGGGAGCCAGCAGAACGCTGGTCATCCGATGACCGCCTGACTGAGATGGTCGTCAGGGGGCACTGGACCCTTGTGGAGACTCTAGGGACAGTGGGTGCCCGGGAGGGGCTGGACTGAGCCCCTCAGTAGAATGTGGGGACTGAGTACCTCCTGCTGGAAGACTTCTCACCACCAGTGCACTGGGGCGGGGGCCGGAATCCTCCTGCAGTCCCAGCAGAGTGTAAGTGTGTCACCTGGAGGCCTTCGCCCTTGCGGGCCACCTGAGCTGATGCCTCTTGGCCTCGGGGCTCAGAAGGGCTGAAGGTGGAGCAGGTGGGGAGATGCTAGAGAAGGCCTGCAGCTTTTTCAGAGCGTGGCCCGCCCTTCCCCCCCGCCCCCCAAAACCCCAAACGGACTACGGTGACCAGACCCCACTGAGATGTGAGGCCTCCTTCAGTCCCGGCCCTGGAGACAGGAACTGCCAGTGTTGATCTTAGATAACACCCCGAAGGCAAACACCCATGCCGGCTGCTGTGTACTCTTCCGGAGCAGAAAGGTGGCCTGCGGGCTGGAAAGCACCCGAAGCACATCCCGCAGAGCGGAGGCTGGTTGGGGGAGGAAGGAAGGATGCCGGAGCCACTGAGGGAGGGGGAGGTGGCACCCAGAAAGTACCTTGCTGCCCACCCCCGGCTGTGGACGGGGTGCAGGCTGGGGTGGGGACGCACGCAGACCTGAGCCCAGAGGCCTTTGAGGAGGACTGTGTGGCTCGGGGTGGGGAGGACTGACTTGGCCTCAGCACGTGTTTCCCCTCCTTTGAATGTGGATAATGCCAAGGCCAGTCTGTCCATTTGTCTTCTTCTCTGAACCTTCCTCTGGATTGCTTGCTGGTTGGTGGTTTCCTTCCCACAGCAGGGCCTTGAGGGCCTGGCCTCATCCACAGATAAGGGCGCATCATCACCGAATTAACTGCTGCATGTCAGTGGTGTCTGAGAACAAATTGTGTACACAGTCCACAGTCATTCTGTTTGTGCTGTTAAGTAGCTGGCTGAGCAGGGAGTTTTTTCATGAATTTGGCCAAACCTTGGTCTGAATGAGGCAGGTTCTGGGGTAATAGAAACGGGTTTCATTTTTTGAGATAGATAGGGCTCTTTGGCGGGGCTTATTTTTTTCTCCTTGTTCTGGCTTCCATAACTTGTAGAACAGCATCGATCACTAGAAGTATCATGCCAGTCATGCTATTAACAATTCCTTAGGAGTGCCATTAAAAAACGAAAAAGAAACAGATAAAATCCATTTTAATAATATACTGCAATATATTCAAAATACTATCAATTTGACATGTAATCAGTGTCATAAATGATTTAGATATTTGGCACTGGTTTTCTTTTTACTAAATTTTCAAAATCCATTGTGTATTATATTTTCACAGCACGTTTCAGTTCAGACCAGCCACATTTCCAGTGCTCAGCAGCTACTTGTGGCTCACGGCTACTGCACTGGACGAGCTCTAGATCATCATGGGTGTCACTCTTACAACTTCCACATCCTTAGCCCAGTGCTGTCTTATTCCTCCTGCTCCAAACACAACCTCTCCCACTGGGGCTTCCCTGTTCTCCTGCCATCGTGGGGCTGGAGCCCCCAGTATCGGTCTCCTATCTTCAGTCTTTCTCTCTACCAGCTTTTGCCCTCAGCGTTAAAATATGCCCAGGTCTCTCTAATCCTGGAAGGGTCTATTGATGCCTTCTTGCCCTCATGCTACCGTGTCCAGGCAGAAGTTCCTGTCCCTTATGGGTAGTGGCCCCTCCACACTCTGTAGCTTGACTCCCTGCACCGCCCGCCAACCACTGTGCTGAAACTGTTCTCAGAGCTACAGGTAGCGCAGTCTAGGGATGGCTAAGAGCCCTAGGATCTCAGGATGAGGCCTGTAGGGTCATCTCATCTCAACCGCTGGGTGCAGGTGCAGTGGATGCATAGGGGAAGCGGTAAGAAAGCAGTCTTTTTTATGTCTCATCTTCGGATTCTGATCCAGTAAGTCTGCCGTGGGGCGTGAGAATCTGTATTTCTCAGATACTGAACAAGTATCTGAGGCACTTCCTTTCTGATTATAAAATAATGTTTCCAGAAGAAAATTTGGCCATATGTAAGATAAACTCTCACCATGTATATTTGAACTTATTCTGGAAAATTTCAACCTTACAATGAAAGCAGCGAGAGTAATACAGTGAGTCTCCACAAGCATTCATCATCAGTTCCAACATTTATCAGCATCTTGCTTCGTGTATTTGCCCCACATACTCTTTTTCCTTTGGGAGGAATATTCTAAAAGCAAATCTCAGCAATCATGTAACTGCAGCCTTAAAATCTTCAGGGTGTAACTTTAACTGATAAAACACACTCTCTTACCCTACAACAACCCCCTTACCTCAACCTGATTCTTTTTCTATTGTTCCTTTCTACATTTATTACCAGTTTTTCCTTCAGCAATTATTTTATCACCTTGATATACAGTTTGTAAAGGAAAGGCATCATTTTTTTCTACTTACTAATGTTCAAAATAAGGACAGTCTCTAGATCCATCCAGGTCTCTACAAATGACCCAATTTCATTCCTTTTTCTGGCTGAGTAATATTCCATTGTATATATGCACCACATCTTCTTTATCCATTCATCTGTCGATGGGCATTTAAGTTGCTTCCATGACCTGGCTATTGTAAATAGTGGTGCAATGAACATTGGGGTGCGTGTGTCATTTTGAATTACAGTTTTCTCTGGTTATCTGCCCAGGAGTGGGATTGCTGGGTCATATGGTAATTCTAGTTTTAGTTTTCTAAGGACCCTCCATACTGTTCTCCATAGTGGCTGTATCAATTTACATTCACACCAACAGTGCAAGATGGTTCCCTTTTGTCCACACCCTGTCCAGCATTTGTTGTTTGTAGATTGTCTGATAATGCCCATTCTAACTGGTGTGAGGTGATAACCTCATTGTAGTTTTGATTTGCATTTCTCTAATAATTAGTGATGTTGAGCACCTTTTCACGTACTTCTTGGCCATCTGTATGTCTTCTATGGAGAAATGTCTATTTAGGTCTGCTCATTTTTTTATTGGGTTTTGATTGTGGAGCACAGGCTCCGGATGCACAGGCTCAGCGGCCATTGGTCATGGGCCCAGCCGCTCCGCGGCATGTGGGATCTTCCCGGACTGCGGCACGGACCTGTGTCCCCTGCATCGGTAGGCGGACTCTCAACCACTGCGCCACCAGGGAAGCCCTGTTTATTTTTTTAATATTGAGCTGCATGAGCTGTTTATATNTTTTGGAGATTAATCCTTTGTCTGTTGGTTCGTTTGCAAATATTTTCTCCCATTCTGAGGGTTGTCTTTTGGTCTTGTTTGTAGTTTCGTTTGCTTTGCAAAAGCTCTGAAGTTTCATTAGGTCCCATTTGTTTATTTTTGTTTTTATTTCCATTACTCTAGGAGGTGGATCAAAAAAGATCTTGCTGTGATTTATGTCCAAGAGTGTTCTTCCTATGTTTTCCTCTAAGAGTTTTATGGTGTCCGGTCTTACAGTTAGGTCTGTAATCCATTCTGAGTTTATTTTTGTGTATGGTGTTAGGGAGTGTTCTGATTTCATTCTTTTTTTTTTTTTTTGTGGTACGCGGGCCCCTCACTGCTGTGGCCTCTCCCGTTGCGGAGCACAGGCTCCGGACGCGCAGGCTCAGTGGCCATGGCTCATGGGCCCAGCCGCTCCGTGGCATGTGGGATCCTCCCGGACCAGGGCATGAACCTGTGTCCCCTGCATCGGCAGGCGGACTCCCAACGACTGCGCCACCAGGGAGGCCCTGATTTCATTTTTTTACATGTAGCTGTCCAGTTTTCCCGAACCAGTTATTGAAGAGAGTGTCTTTTCTCCATTGTATATCTTTGCCTCGTTTATCATAGATTAGTTGACCATAGCTGCGTGGGTTTATCTCTGGGCTTTCTATCCTTTTCCATTGATCTATATTTTTGTCTTTGTGCCAGTACCATATTTTCTTGATTACTGTAGCTTTGTAGTATAGTCTGAAGTCAGGGAGTCTGATGCCTCCAGCTCCGTTTTCTTCCCTTAAGATTGCTTTGGCTATTTTGTGTCTCCATACACATTTTAAGATTTTTTTGTCCTAGTTTTTTAAAAAAATGCCACTGGTAATTTGAAAAGGATTGCATTGAATCTGTAGATTGCTTTGGGTAGTATAGTAATTTTCACAGTATTGATTCTTCCAATCCAAGAACATGGTATATCTGTCCATCTGTTTGTGTCATCTTTGATTTCTTTCATCAGTGTTTTACAGTTTTCTGAGTACAGGTCTTTTACCTCCTTAGGTAGGTTTATTCCTAGGTATTTTATTCTTTTTGTTGCACTGGTGAATGGGATTGTTTCCTTAATTTCTCTTTCTGGTCTTGCATTGCTAGTGTCTAGGAATGAGAGAGATTTCTGTG